AAGATCCAAATTTATTGCTGGTTCCGAAAGAAAGATGTCAGAATACACAGTGGCCTGGTCTGATGAATCACTTTTTTCTTTTTCATCATATGGATGGCTGGGTGCGTGTGCTTGGCTTACCTGGGAAAGATATAACACCAGAATCTACTATGAGAAAATAAGCCGGTGGAGGCAGTGTGATGCTTTGTCTAGTGGAATCAATGCCTTGATGGGTCAGGGCTGTTTTGGTGGCAAAAGGGGGGACCTACTCAATGTTAAGTGAATGGTCATAATGTTATGACTAATTGGTGTATAAGGATAGATTTTTGCATACAACTGAGAATGGCAGAGAACTACCATGGCTGCAAAGATTGCACTTGCGACAGGTCCCTAGTGTTCTGCCAGCATGGGGGTCCCCAGCCTCCTCTCACTGTCCTGGCCTTGCCATTTACAGTGCTGGTCTGATGTCTCTGTCTCCAGGCAGCGGTCTATTAGGTAACCGGGGAGGGGGAAATCAGCTGTCCGCAACTAATAGTGCCAGCGTTCCCCCGCATGCACCCATCCTACCCATAATGTAACCGGCACTGGGTCCTAATGTGCTGCTGCCACTGCCATGGAGACAGAGACCAGCGCTGTCAAGCAGGGTTAGGATAGCAACCCTGGTTGTTCGACCACTGATGACCCTGCTAGTTCCGCCATCCACCTGGAATGTGTAGCTGGCTCAGGCAGCGGAATCATTGAAACAGCTAGGAATCTGTAGCAGGCTGCTGTTTTCATATTTCCTGGCCACATATCCCCTCTCTCTCAGGCACAGCTGCACTTCGAGGATAGGACAGTGGGCGTGGCCAGGCAGACATAGGAGGAAAAGGGGCAGGAGGAGCTACTGTATTTGGGGATAGGAGAGTGGGCGGGGCTGGGTAGACAGGGGAGGAGGAGCTGTATTCCTCTCCCGTCCGTGGGGGGGGGGGGTTTGGAGTGCTCGCTGAGCTGCGAGAGTGTTACAGACACTCGGCTCCGCTTCAGCCAACGGTCCCTACATTCACAGACTGATTCTCCTGTCCCTTATATAATGGGTGGTAGGCAACAGTGGTTAGGCCTCCCCTCCCCCCCATGGTGATGGAACTCCAGGGTCCGGTTCCATGTGCGATTTTTTCTGCGACCCTGGTAGATCCGCCACTGCATGACCATCCGCAATACAATCAATTACATTCCCAAGGCATGCTTACATGCAACTGGCGGTTTATGGTTACTGCATAAAATCGTTTAAATAATCAACATTTCTCTTATTTTATGTACACTGTAGAACTAATAGATGCTAAAACACCATGCAGTGAATCATACAGGCCTACATATACATGTAAATAATTTATTTGGCATACAAAAATGTACTTATACAGATTCTTTATATATTCTGTACTTATACAGTTAATTTATCTTTTCTGAAAATGATTACTCTTTCAGCTCTATTTCTATGTTTTAAGTAGCTGGGTATCATCACAAACCTCATACAGGCAGCTGTATCTTTTACATATCTGATTGTCATTAGTAACAATTTCATAGCTTTACTGTATCTGTGAAGCAGTCAATAAAATGGGATAAAAAAAAAATGATCTTGTAAACTTAATGAAAAATATGTACATATAGGAGTGTTTTACAATATTTTGTTGGGGAAGGGGATTTTGATTCCATGCACATGCCTTATCTGGCTGGGTTATATTTTGCATATTCTGGATACTGTTGCATGGCTGTAGCATTGCATGGCTGGATGTTGTGGATAACACCATCACCTTTCTTTCCTCCAGACTGTATCCTTGAAGACCTAAAAAGATAGCTGATCCTTTCATGGAAGCAATAGGATCTACAGTAAAACTAATGCCGGTCTGGTTACAAACATTTTTGGTCAATATCGTTTTTGAAAAGACACATTTTTTGCAGATTGTTTTCAGTGGAGACAAGTGAGCTTTTGTGGTAACAACAGTCAGATCACATACAGTACATTAGACTTTGTAGACAACATGTAAAACACAGGTCTAGTCAATTAAAGAAAATAAGTGTCATCTTTCACAGACATTTTCAGTGAAGTGGTGCTTTCCAGACAGTGTCAGTAGAAAAGGTTTTACATAGATTGCAAAGTACATGTGCTGTCCAAAATGCATTTTGTGAGAAATACCAGTGAAAAAACAAGTCAGTAATAGTTATTTGATTCCTACAGATTAGCTTGTGTAGCTGGTTTCAGTGCCTGAACATAATAAAACAGAAGTGCAGTGTGGAGAGGTATTCATAAAGAAAGCCCTTGACTACTGTAAATTAAAGTAGAACTAAAGTCAAAAAACTTTTTTTCATTTTGGATAGTGTAGGGGACGGTTATAGCACCTGTCAGTTTTTTTGTCATCTTTTGTCCCATTGGGGAGATTTACCTTCACTTCCTGTCCCATAGCCAAAACAGGCTACAGGATAGGGATAGAAAATCCCTGCAAATTAAGGAATCCCTTGGGGACCCCCAGGTCACCAAAACTAGTGTCCCCATTTCCCACTATTACTTTTCGGGGGACAACCCAATATTTGGCATTTACCATTATCATTGAAAGTAAAGAAAACAGGACAAATAATTTTTAGTGCTGTCTGTCCCTCAGTTAGTGAGAGTCACCCTCTCTGACAGGTGGTTTAATTGATCTCTACTCTATCCAAAGCAAAAAAAAAAAAAAAAAAAAAAAAAAAGTTTACCTTTAGTTACATTCTTTAATGTAAAAGTTTGCCTTTAATTCTATGCTTTGTACAATAAGACCATATATATTTTTATTAAATCGGAAACCGGTAGTTTTACTGTGGCCTTTTCCTTGCATAATTTTCTATATTTTCTACTATATTTATAATAAAAATGTTTCTCTGTAAAAATAAATATTTCTTTTAGATAAGCATTGTGGTGTCTATATTTACCCACATAAACCTTTGGTCCACTCGATTCAAGTCCATTTTCACAGATAATTTGAGAACACTAGGATGCGGAATTAAATGTTGGATTTTCAATGTAATAATCACTAGGAGAAAGATTTAAAATATCCTCCAATGGGGGACCTTCATCTTCTGGAGGTATTTCGGCTTCAAACATACGCTGTAACAGGGCATCCACTGTTCTGTACCCTAAGGAAAGCAGCCACATGTACTTTAGGATTTAGAGTATATTTTTCCATCCTCTGACACAAATATTCTATCTATCTATCTATACTATATATCTATATATATATAATATATATCTATATATATCTATATATATATATATATATATATATATATATATATATATATATATATATATATATATATATATATATATATATACATACACACACACACACACACACACACACACATATACATACATACACACACGCATACATTTAAACGCTAACACTGATCACACACTTTTCATAAATATAATATTTTTTATAACATTGATTTGTCTGCCATTAAAGCTGCTGAAATCGGATTTGTTGTTATGGGTCACTCCAGTTTTGTTAGTTTTATATTAATATCTCTCTCTGCTACACATGCTTACATTTTTATTTCCATCAGTAGTGGGGATTAATTTAAAATCATTTTCACAGAACCTTGCTTAGAATGAACAGCAGCTCAATGCAACCCCTTCATGGGGTCTCCCTGCTGCTGTCACAACGATTGATACAGCTCTCTGGCAAGTGTATGATTCCTTTATATGTTGATTTGCTTCAGGATGAAATTGCAGGAAAAATAAATAGCTTGTGAAACAAGTATTTTGCATAAGTAAGCAAGTCTACATGTGCAATGTCACTTTGAACAATAGAGAGGAGGCACAAAGACTATGAGGGTAACCTATGGCATGAGTGCCAAGTACAAAAGTGAGCCCCTCTAGAAACTGGACCAAGGGAGAGCAAAAACAGCCATGAAATAACATTTGCTTGCTAAAAGAGGTAGTTGAAGTACTTTTCAACATAAATGGAAGGAAAAGATAGAATTAGAACCCTTATATATATATATATATATATATATATATATATGTACACAACTGTCCTTACTTCTGGCCCAAGGTACCAGGCTAATATTATTGTTAAACTGATAATTGCCCATATTAACTATTTCAAAAAAATCAGTTTCCTTTAATATCAAAATATCTGTGGGAGTTCACAAACTTATTGAATTGTACAGAGCATCCAGAAAGTATTCACAGTGCTTAACTTTTGCCACATTTTGTTATGTTACAGCCTTATTCAAAAATGGATTAAATTCATTTTTTTCCCCCAACATCCTACAAACAATACCCCATAATGACAACGTGAAATAAATTTGTTTTGATCAGTGGGAACAGGATGCACCGGAGCCCAATTTTGAGTGTCATGGCAAAGGCTGTGAATACTTATGTACATGTGTTTTTTTCCATCTTTTAATTTTAATAAATTGCAAAGATTTCAATACGAACTTATTTCATGTTGTCATTATAGGGTATTGCTTGTAGAATGTTGAGGAAAAAAATGAATTTAATCCATTTTGGAATAAGGCTGTAACAAAACAAAATGTGGCAAAAGTTAAGCGCTGTGAATAGTTTCTGGATGCGCTGTATATTGATCTTATACGGTAGCATTAGGTTTTTACCTTGGGGTAAACATAACCAACCAATGTCTAAAGAGTCTTACATGCATAGACTTTGCTAGCCATAGAGTGGATGGAGGAATAACAAGCCACTGGCTATTGTACTCAAGCAGTTGCAACACCTGCGGGTGTTTTGGACCTGAACAGTTAGAACCAGGTGCTGCCGTTAGGGCCACCCACAGTTCAAATTTGTCCATTTGTTGAGTAGTATATGACCAGCTTAGGGGAAAATCAGGGATAAGATGTACATTAACCCCCCTCCTGTACAAGTGCACGGATACGATACCCCCCCCCCACCCAGTACTTATTTCACTGCTGAAGTGTACAAATCATATTATTCCTGGTTAAAAAAAATACATACGTTTTGAAGCTATTCGAAACATCAATCCTTTTTGCTCTGTCTCTCCAAATGCTCCAGTATCATTTTCACAGTTCTCCATGTCTGCTAAGTTTCCAGAAAGATGATCCTCCCTTTGGAAAAATCAATACCACATAAGGTTTCTAGGTACATCGGGGTAGGCAACATTTTAAGCCTAGTGTGCCAAAAAACATTTATTTCTAAGTAACTGAGAGAGTCAGACACAAACAAAATTCATACTTCACACTCTTTCAGGAAAAGGAATATTTGGTAAGTAAATTGTAATAATAATAATAATAATAAATAATAAATACCAACATCATCAACAACAATCCCAAACACAAAATTGGTGGCAGTGATAGCAATAGGAACTCCCCCAACACTGTTGTTAAATATTGCAATGATAAACCACCAGGATTGGTGTCAGTGCAGCAAAATAAAACAGAATGAGGGGAAAGGAAAAGGATTACAGACAGCGTGTGGAGAAATGGGGGGAGCAGTATACTTACCTGCTTTGTGCAATGGTATTGCACAGAGTAGCCCTGATCCTTCTCTTCTAGGGTTCCCCGCTGGCGCTTCTGGCTTCCCCTCCATGCTGATTGGCCCCATAGCAAGTCGCTTACTATGGGGGCACTCATGCAGGCTCGCTCTTGAACTGCGCTTTATGTGTCCATTGACACATATGGTGCAGCTTGGCCCCTCTCCCGCTTCCTCCTCACTGGCTGTGATTGACAGCAGCAGGACATTGGGCTTGGGTAAGTACAAAAAGAGGGCAGGGGGGCCTGCAAACAGAAGGTTTTTCACCTTAATGCATAGAATGCATGAAGGTTGAAAAACAAAAAAAGCTTCTGCCTTTAGAACCACTGTAAAGTGAATACATCTACACCAAGTTCTCCCATGCCTCTTATCAGTTTGCCTGCCCTTCTCTGCTATTTTTCCAGATCCTCCAATATACTTTTTATGAAATTATGCCCAAAATGGAACAGCATATTCTAGATAAGGTTTTACTCACTAATGATTTGTAGAGGGAGAAAACTGTCTCGGTCTCTCTCTGGAGTCTATACCTCTTAATACAAGAAACAATTTTGTTTGTTTTAGTGCAGCTTGGCATTGTATGCTATTAAGTCTATGATCTACCAGAACACCCAGATCCTTCTCCACCATTGACTCCTCCAGGTTCACTTTTCTTAGAATGTATGAAGTTTGTTTTTAGCCCCCAAGTGCAAAACTTTACATTTATCAACAGTAAACTTAATTTGCCACATAGTTGCTCAAACAGTGCACTGAGGTCTGCTTGTAAGTTGGAGATATATTGTAAGGATGTTATTCAACTACATAACTTGGTGTCATCTGCAGACACAGAAATGGTACTTTTAATCCTAAACTCTATATCCATTCTAGATAGGTTAAGAAAGGTGATATACAGTATATCTCAACATTTACATGCATATGGGTTTGCATCCTGGGTTTGTTCTATGTGAACTTGGTACAGCCAGCATGTCCGCTTCATCCCATCTTATGTATTGTTTAATACATATGATGCAGCATAATTTTTAAAATCTGATTAAACTCACGTTACAATCTCACTGTATAATCTAATTTAGATCTACCAACTATGTAGTACAAGGGTTGGATATAAACTGAATGGATAGTTTATGAACAATGTTGATGGGCTCTATTTATTTCAGATGGGTTTTTAATTTTCATACAAGTCTTTAAAAATGCAAAACCTGTTTGAAGCCAGTCAGAAGTCTGTCAACTGCAGGTTAGATGCACTTGTGGATGAATAATGAATGATCTTAGAAGTGTCTCAAACTAATGCCATCAACACAAGACCAAAGCCAGTTGACAAACACCCTGTACACACGATCAGAAAACCGTCCAAAAAATTGCACTTTTAAAGCGATTGCATGATAATCTGATCATTAGTACACAGCAATCGTTCCAAATTACTCAAAGGGCAACGCACAAAAAGTTTTTCTGTATGATGCCAGATCGTACGATTTTCGTTTACCTAGTACAGATTTCGTTCAAAAATACAAACACATTACATCACTTACGAATTTTTATTCTGTTGTACAAGAATTTTTGTAACTTTAGTAACTGCTTCACTTTTGATATGAGACTAGCATGCGAAAAAAAACAAAAACAAACGGGCGATCATTGTCTGATATTCTCAATGTGTATACAGGACTTTAGGCAAGTCACTGTATTATACACAATACAGTATATCCACTTTAAGTCCAGGCCTTTTCTGAGATTTTTGATTACTTGCAAAAATCAGCTGTTATGCTAGAAAAGTTACTTAAAAAAAATATAAATGTTTGGCAGTTCTAAGTAGAGGCCCTAGAGAATAAAATTGGGGTTAGCAATTTTTATGTCACAAAGTATTTGCAAAAATTTTTTTGGGGAAAGAATACACTAATGAATTTTAATGCACACAAACATGTAATACCCACATTTTTGGGTAAAATATAAAGAATGTAAATATCCCTTGTGACAACAATCAGCAGTGACAGGTACACTTTATGGAGAGATCTGGGGTCTTTAAAACCCCAGATGTCTCCTTTGCCCTTAAAAGCATCTGATTACACCAAGATAAGTGTGATCAGATACTGTCCCCATTTAAAAATGGTGCTGTTTAAATCCGGCAAAATTAGGAGTAACAAAATAGTAGTTGCTTCCAGTTTCCTATACCAGAGAGATGATCAGGGGCCTTCGGGTCTCTGATCACTTCTATAACAAGCCGCCTGAACCACCAGCTTCAGTGTCGGGCTCTCCGCCAAGACGGGAGAGCCCGGAGAGGCACCAGAAGATGCCAGGAGGGGGGACCCCTCTGCCGGCTGTAAAAAGCATTCCCGTGGCTAATTATCTACTAGGATTACTTTTACAAAACAAGAGACTCTCCTGGAGAAAAGAAATGACCCGGGTGATGCCCACCTGTAGCTGCAGGTATTATCCCGGTATACCACTTGAAAGAGCATGCACATTAGGCTGTCTTAGATATTATACAGTAGAGCTGGTAAATCTTAAATGGGGTTTCTCGTGACATCAGAATCCCCCTTTTTACATCATAGTCCTCAGTGCCCTCCCCAACCATGGATTAGCATCATACGTTTCCATGGTGCTGGTGACTGGCCCACCTGCACCATGAAAAGGCATGACACTGGTAAAAAATACTGGAGGAGCACGGCACTCCGACAACCTATGACAACATACCATGGTGCTGGGACACCCCAGCTGAGACAGCCAATTTACAGTGGCAGTTCAGTTTACTTAGCGGCTACAGGTGTCACTGGTTAGCCAGCTGATAGTTGCAGCTTGTGATTGCCTTTTTTTTTAGTAAAATGTGATTTTGCTGTACTTGAAACAGTCTGGTGCTTTAAAGCTGAACTTATCTAGGGAGTGTCATTTGTAACCAAAAACCATACAAATTCTGAGGGCTGTCTATGCAATAGCTATTCAACCACTGGTTGGCCATTATAATACAATAAAATATATCCATTTTGTGGTTAGAAATAGTTATATAGTAAATATTTACAAATGCAAGTAATCTTGTATTTGCTTTGTCACTTACTCTTGCACAGCCATACCCAACTCCTGAATTTTGGTCTCAATAGTAGTTTCAACTTCACTTCTTTCCAACGAATACTCCACAAAAAAGGCTTCTAAAATAAATGCTACAAAGATGCTGAGAAATAAGAAATACATCAATATCTGTGATGGCAGTGGGTACATAAAAAAAAAATCTTAAAATGATCTTTCATTGTTGGATTACTTTTCCACCTAAAGAGCGGTCATTACATATACAAACTAAATTTGACCAAGAAGTGTTGCATTATGTATGCTAGCTTGAGTTGTTCTATTCACACATGATGCTATTATGCCTAAAGAACATGAAGTCCTAAATAGATGACACAGAGTTTCCTTAAACATTACATAATATAAACAACTGACATTTTTTTTCATAAAATAGGATTCTGTTTCCTGGAATACAAGACAGGACCCAGACTTTCTAAAATGATTATGCCTGGGACTTCCAAAAAGCTGTCTAACGGAGGGGTGGGCAAAGCAGGAAACAATGCCAACAGGCCCACAAAACATATAGGTGAAGGACTTGACAGACTCTGATAGCAACTTGACGCACCCTACACCTGAAAACTGTGAAAACTGGCATCAGAGAAGACTTGAACATCCAATGGAAAGAAGGAAGGACAGACAATATCCTGATTGAAAGGTGGGAGGCAGAGACCACCTTTGGGAGAAAGGAGGTCTTAGGTCTCAAAACAACCTTGTCCTTGTGTAACTAAAAAAGGGAAAGGCAGAGGGAGGGAGAAGGGGAGAGAAGTGAGACGGGGGAGCAAGAGGCAGAGTGGGGAGTGAGAAAGAGAGAAAGAAAAAGAGCACACTACTATCATGTGACACATTCACATGGAACCTTAGCTTTCTGTTGAGAAAACAAAAAAACTGAGGCTAGCTGGGAGTGGATGGGGTTATATAGGGAGTTAATGATGCAGCCTCCTATTTTTGCCAGAGCCCAATCACCTGACAGGAGCTGCATAAACCCCAGTTGTGATGATTTAAGGACACCTGTGTCCTGTTGAGTACGACCAGGAAATACAGTTTTAACCTTTTTGCATCTAGGTGCTGCTGATCTTCTCCAACCTCTCAGACACTTCTTGTGCACATGCACTCATTCCAGCATCACATAATTTTTCCAATCTGGCATCCTGATGTCAAAAACAGATGGCCATGCCAGTACAATTTGTGGTGTAATGGTTGGGGAGCTTTTGATGAATACTTGTGGCAGTCAATGCATTTTGCCATGTTATTACTACAGACAGGTCCCCTCTCACACTAGACCAGAATATTAAAGACCTGGGACCCTGAAGACCCAGTGTGTTGTGAGAGAAATTTTAGATCAGTAAATAGGTCTTGTAAGATTTTAATTTTAAATAAATGTATAGCTTAGGTACAGAAGATGGAGTGGTAGACCTTTTTCTCTACCTGGAGGTAAGATAAATGTGCTTTAAAAATACTGCAGCTATTGGCTATTTTTAATACAACTTTGTAAAAGTTAATATTTTATTCTAGAGTTGTGCTTTCCAGTGTCCATATGTGATGTCTAATAGTAGATCAGGCTCTAGAGTTTCCCTAGTTTGTTGCTGGTGTTTGCTTCTTGTCACAGAAAATGACTGAAAGCAAAGTCTTAAAAATATTTCATATACGATTCCGAAATTTGACGTGTCAAGTAATATCACATTTTCAAAGGAAAATGGGGAATAAATTTAACCTACATAAACAGTATATAGAAAACTGTAAAACTTACTTGATTATCATGATGACAACAACCACATGGAATAGAATAAAATAAAGTTTAGCTGCTGGATGGGTTACCAGAGAAAACCCAGTGGCGATAAGTACAATGTTAAGAAGCGCAACATCAAAATGTAAATATGATATATTTTAAAACATGCAGTTATACTGAAAAAATGTTTATGACAATCTTACCTCCCCCAAATTTCTACCTCATGTTTTTTTCCACAACATTACTTGTCCTTTATCTGTTTACTAAACAAAACATGCACAGAGAGGGAAGTTCACAATGCAACAACATTCTACATAGGGGTAGATTTCTGCACGTCGAAATACATTGATGCTTTCATGCACTATAAATGCCAAAAATGGCCATGCTTCATCATATTCTCTTATTATGATTAAAGCCCTACTCTGGGATAATTTAAAGTGGACCTTTAAAGAAGATCTGCAATACTATAGGGATCATCTACTTATGTTAATAGTGCCTAAGATGGTACTCTGAAAAATCACAGCAGTATATCCTCAGTGTGATTAAGGCATTGTGTCTCTAAATGCATTCTAAAAGGCAAAAATTTTGTTGATGCTTAACAAATAATTCAGTATCCTCATGGTTTATTCCATATTTATTAAAAATCAGACTTTGCTTTGGATTCTTGATTCAACAAAAATGTAAATATTAAAACAAACTAAAATGGCATGAACAAAAATTATGGGACCCTTAACCTAAAAATTATATTGCACAACCTTTGGATTAAATGACAGCAAACAAGTGATTTCTGTAGATCTCGGTGAGACCTCTACACATACCAACAGATATTTTGGTCCACTATTCTTGAGCAAAATTGCTCCAGCTCCTCAGGTTTTAAGGGTGCTTTTCCATACTGTGTGTTTCTGCTCTTTCTATAGATGTTCACTAGGATTCAGAGAAGAAGGGCTCATCGAAGGCCACTTTAGAATAAGCCAATGTTTTTTTCTTAGCCATTATTGGGTAATTTTAGCTCTGTGTTGTCATTATGGTGTTGGAAAACCCATGTCATGAAACAGGGCTTCCTGACTCTGGACAGTATGTTTCACTCCAGAATTCCCGAAGTCTTTAGATTTTATTGTGCCATGTATATTCTTTGAATGTTTCATATTTTTTATTTGTAAACACACCTCCATTTTCGTCTAAAGGACATTTTCCCGGAAGTATTGTTGCCAGCCAATCAGGCTTTTTTAGGTTTTTCTTTTAACAGTTTGAGGTGATTGTAGCCATATTAGTGCACTTGTGACAGAAACAATTGAGTACTGTCCATGATACTTTTTTTTATTGGAGGTGCAGCTGTATGATCCGTGATATTAAAGATCCCTTGTGTGTGTGACACTTTTTGATGGATTGATTTGGTTGCTCAGTTTGCATCGATTTTTATTGCAAGGTTAGCTTCCATTATATGTGACTTCATGATCAGAATGAAGTTTCCTGTTGATTAGTTTATGTCTGAGGTTGGGTGGTTGTCTGAAAGCCAGTATTGGGGGTTGCTGGAATATTTCTTTTAGAATTTCATTCTCTGTTATGATGAGTTGCAAATGTTTGATGATCTTTCTTATCCCGTCTAGTGCTGGATTGAATGTGATTACTAGAAGTACATAGACATTTGTTTTTTTCTCTTTGTACTGAAGTAGATTTTCTCTTCAGGTTTTCAAGGCTGTGTTTATACTTCAATAAAAAGAGAAAAAAAAAAAACAAATAACCGTGTACCTCTAGTAACCACAAACAATCCAGCACTAGAAGGAATAGGAAAGATCAAAAATTTACAACCCATCATAACAGATGATGAAACTCTGAAAGAAATTTTCCAGCAACCCCCAATACTGGCTTTCACACAACCACCCAACCTCAGAAATTCTGATCATGAAGTCACATATAATGGAAGTAAACCCTGCAATAAAAATAAATAAATAAATAAATGCAAACTGCAACAAAATCAATCCATCAAAAAGTGTCATACACACAAAATGGGTCTTCAAAATCACCAGATCATACAGCTGCACCTCCAGTAAGTTGTGCAGCTCATCCAGTGCAATAAATGTAGCAAAAGGATGCTATGTTGGTGAAACAGACAAGAAGTTGTAAACAAGGATGAATTTGCACAGCCACACCATCAGGGCACAAAAGGAAGATAGTTTCCTATACCTACAGGACATCCTTTCTCACAACCCGACCACACTATGGAAGACCTCAATGTCTTTGTTCTTAAAGGGAATTTCAAAACTAATCAAGAAATGAAAACTTTTGAACTAAGAATGATAGTTCTTTTTGACACAAAATATAATGGTCTAAATCCAGACCTGGGTTTTCTAAATCACTATCCAACAGTTTTACGACCCCCTCTGTGACGGTCTTCACCCCCCAGTCTATAACTCTTTCTCTGTCTTATCCCACCAACTATGCCAGTTCAATTACTATTGCTGTGTAGATTTGTTTTTTTTATACATATATATATATGTTTTTTTTTTTTTTTGTTTTTATTAGACATTGCCTTATTTTAACATTCTGCTAAAACTTTGTGTATCAGTACTGCTTAGACCTTGAAAAAGGGGATGCACCCGAAAGCTTGTCCTGAAAAATTGTATGTTAGTGCAAATAAAAAAAGTATCTTGGACAGTGCTCAATAGTTTCTTTCAACAGTGGAGTCCTCCTGGGTCTTATTGCTTTCAGACCACTATCGTGCATAAATGCATGGTGTGTTCAAACACTGATGTGCCCTAATTTTGGGGTTCAGCCTTGTATCTCTTTGAAAGTTGTCCTTGGCTCTTTTTCTACCATTCACCCTATGCTTTTGTTCCATCTGGGGTCAATATTCTTCTTGGGGCCATTCCCAAGGCAGTCGGCTACACTTGCATATACCTTAAACATCTTAATATTTGTAACTGTAGTCACAGGAGCATAAAGCTGCTTGGAGATGGTCTTTTAGCCCAGTGTATTTCAAGCTTTTTTCAATCAAGGTACCCTTTAAAATTCTGCACAATCTTAAGGCGCCCATTACAAAATGTAAAAAAAACTAAACTAATAGTTTTACAGAACACAGCAGCATCTGCACATTTAGCAAACTGGCACTGACTAGTATTCCATGGTTTCCCTTCTCCCTCAGTTACTCTCTCTCTCTCAGCTAGTGTGACCCCAGTGCTTTCAGAGCAGGCCAGGGGAGCAGCAAGCAAGGATGCTGTGTAGGTGCTCGATGTCCTCCTTATCAACTGAGATAATTATTTGTTATGTCACCAGCACCTAGAAAGTTGTAATGGTGCACAATGAAAACCTGTGGTTTTGTGTAACAAAGGTAGGCTTCATCCACCTGCTGGCTTGCACACAATGTTTGGGCAATTTTTAGGCATTTGGTTAAAGGCACCCCTGAAGAAACCTGAAGGCACCCCAGGGTGCCTGGGTACTGTTTTAGCCTATACTTTTGACATGCTGTTCTATAATTTTCTTCTGATCTTTGCAAATAAACTCTGCTGTGCTTTCTCAGGTCCATGTTCAGTGTGGTGATGATACCAAACAGCAGAGTAAATACTTTTTTCCCATTAAATAGGCTGATATAATTTACCTCTTTTCACGCTTTTTCTTTCCTCTATGACATACCAAAGCTGTGCTGGTATACATACTAAAACTGCTTTTAATTCAGGATTTAATTCACAGTTCAGGAGGAATGAAGCATTGTTTCAATGAGCTGTAAGGGTACCAACACATTTTTTCATGTCTGTATAAGGCACCAACAGACAATGCTGAAAAAGGTTAGAAAGTATTAGCTAGATTTATTCCAACTAGAGTAGCTAGAGATGGAACAATACTTGCTATCAATGTTATCCACTCGTCTCTTTCAGAGACTAATCACACTTTTATCCTTTCTACAGATGCAGAAAAATCCTTTGATAGGGTTGACTGGACCTTCATACGTCTCACTTTAGAGTTTATAGGCTTAGGTCCATGTATATGATCTTGGATCAATACCCTCTATTCAAATCCCTCAGCCCAGGTTTGCCTTAATGGTACTCTCTTTCTTCCTCTTTTTCTATTATAAACAGAACTCGACAGGGATGTCCACTATCTCCACTCATTTTCATATTAACATTAGAACCCTTCCTGAGAGCTGTTTGAGAAAATCCAGACAATACTGGAATGTTTTACGGGAATTGTGAACATACAATTTCAGCATATACAGATGACTTACTTTTCTTTCTTAGTACGCCCATTACCAAATTTACCAAACCTGATTGTGGAATTTAAACAATACAGGAACTTATCAAACTTTCATATTAACTATCAAAAATCTGCAGCCCTAAATCTCACTATCCCAAAAAAATACACTTTGTAATCTACAGATAATTTTCCATTTCAAATGGGCCTCATCCCACATAATATCTAATAATAATATCTAAGTATTTTACTACCCTCAAACCTATCTGCTTTATTACACACTTAATTTCTATCCGTTACTTTCCACATTTTGCTCTGAACTGTTCTCCTGGTCTTCTTGTCATTTTTCTTGGACGGGCAGCTGTAATGTTTTTTTTTGTTTTTTTTTTTAAAAAGAATGTACTCCCCAGGATTCTTTATCTATTTCAAACAATTCTGATAAACATTCCAACTTACTTTTTCAAACTGTTACAATCCATTTTTACCAAATTTATTTAAATTTCCAAACCTGTCAGGATTAAACATAGTATTCTTCAAAGACCAAAAACTCCCCAACATTAAACTTTACTATTTAGCTGCTCAACTTTCAAGAGCCATAGATTGGTGTATTCTGATGTTAAACAATGGGTATCCATCCACAGAACAATCTTTTTTTTTCAATTCCCCTCCCTGCTCTCCTATGAAGCCCAATACTTCCACAATCGATTCTACATACTCACCCCACCATTATAACCACGTGGAAACACAAAATTTTTTTTTTTTTTTATTAAATATGGGATCTCCCCCTTCCCTTCTCCACTTCTACTGATTTTAGGCCATCCTAAATTCTCTCCTGGTAGAAGAGATAAAACTTTTCGCACATTAATAGCTAAAGATAAAATATCTCGCATTCCAATTTATATAAAATTCGACTTGGTTGTCACCAGAGCAAATGTCATCTGACCCCTTTTGCTTCAATTAGACCATTACAGATCCTTCAAATCTCAAATTTTCTATGCTCTTTACCAAATGCTGTTTCATTTATCCACTAACTTACGACATTTGAACAAGTATGCCAGGCAACGCGACCTTTTCTTCATGCACTTTCCTTTTCCATAAAATCTTACTTTCTGATTCATTACAACAGAATCCAAAATTTATAGAAAAATGGGAACAGGATCTGGATATTAAATTTACACCTCAGGCTAGATCTAAATTAGTTACATTATCAATTCGCTCATCTATAAGTAATCGACACCAAGAATCTGGATATAAATTACTTTCTCGTTGGTATTGTACTTCTAAATTATTACATTCAATATACCCACTTATTTCATATTCCTGCTAGCGAGGCGACAATCAACAGGCAGATCTGTTACATATCTTCTGGACTTGTCCCTGTCTTAATGATTTCTGAACCAAGGTACATAATGTCGCTCAGAAATTCACCAATCATATTATTCCTGAAGATCAAGTTTTTGCCTTCTACATCATAATGACATACCTCTTAAAAATAAAATTAAAAAATTTAGTCATTATTAATTTAGTAAATGCAGCCGATCCTGAATCCCAGTTCTTTGGAAATCCTCATTGCCTCCCACCAAGCGATAGTCGTTTCGTCAAATTCATGATATCGAACACATGGAAAATCTTACTAATTTTCTCAAAAATACAACCAAAAATGTCACAATATATGGTTCTGCTGGAAGAACTTCTCCCATTCTGACGAATATAATAACAGATTCTTCCCCCTCCTCTTTGGGGAGCCCTTGATGAATATTTACTTTATTTGTATATCTTATAGATATATTGACATTTATATCCAATGGTTGGATTAGGGGTTTTCACTTCCCTTCCACCCCTCCTCATTTTCCCTACTCCTCCCTTTCCCCCATCTCACCCCTCCCCCTTCCTTTATTTGTTCTGTTATTTGTTTTATTTTTATTTTTCCTCTACTCCCCAGTTTTATGGTATTTTAATTCAGTATTCATCTGTTATCTTATGTTTATGTTAGCACTATGTACTTTCATTTCATTATTAATACAGTGACTTTTTCCTTTCTCTTTTATTCATATGTTATTGTTCTTATTGAATATGATTTTATATATATTATATATACAGTTGTGACCAAAATTATTCAACCCCCACTGAAATTGAGTGTTTTGGCCAGTTTGACATTGCTTTTGAATTTACATTAAAGAGGCACTTGTAGGTCAGACAAATATAACATAACAGTTATAATGAAATAACCACAAATGTCTTTTCTGTGCTCACAGCATTATCAGTTTTATTCAACCCCCAAGTGACATTCAATCTTAGTACTTAGTACAGCATCCTTTTACAGTTTATAACAGCTTTTAAACGTGAAGCATAGCTTGACACAAGTGTCTTGCAGCGATCTACGGGTATCTTCGCCCATTCTTCATGGCAAAGGCCTCCAGTTCAGTCACATTCTTAGGCTTGCGCACTGCAACTGCTTTCTTTAAGTAGGTTCTCAATCGGATTTAAGTCTGGTGACTGCGATGGCCACTCCAAAATGTTCCAGCCTTTCCCTCTGCAACCATGCTCTAGTGGACTTGGGATCATTGTCCTGTTGAAAGGTCCAACGTCTCCCAAGCCTCAGGTGTGTGACGGACTGCATCACGTTTCCATCCAATATCTCCTGGTATGAAGAGAATTCATGGTACCTTGCACACGCTGAAGCTTCCCTGTACCTGCAGAAGCAAAACAGCCCCAAAGCATGATTGACCCTCCACCATGCTTCACAGTAGGCAAGGTGTTCTTTTCATCATAGGCCTTGTTCTTCCCTCCAAACATAGCGTTGATCCATGGGCCCAAACAGTTCTAATTTTGTTTCATCAGTCCACAGAACACTATCCCACAACTTTTGTGGTTTGTCCACATGGCTTTTGGCATACTGCAGTCGACTCTTCTTATTCTTTGGAGACAGCAAGGGGGGTACGCCTGGGAGTTCTGGCACGGAGGCCTTCATTACGCATTGTGCGTCTTATTGTCTGGGCTGAAACTTCTGTACCCCACATCTGACAAATCTTTTCTCAGTTCCTCAGCAGTCACACGGGGACTTCTCTCCACTCTACGCTTCAGGTAGCGCACAGCAGTCGAAGTCAGCATCTTCTTTCTCCACGACCAGGTAGCGTTTCAACAGTGCCCTTTGCCTTGAATTTGCGAATGATGCTTCCTAAGGTGTCTCTTGGTATGTTTAACATCTTTGCAATTTTCTTATAGCATTGCCCTTCCTGTGAAGAGAAATCACCTCTTCTCTTGTCTTCCTGGACCATTCTCTTGCCTTCACCATGTTTGTAACCACACCAGTAAATGTCTAGAAGGAGCTGAGTATCACAGTCATTTTGTGCCTAATTCTTATTATGCTTGATTGCTGCTATTCCATAGGTGTTTTCAATACCTGATGAAAGCACCTGTATGAACTCTGTTCTTTCAAGTGGTAGTCTTAAGGGGTTTAATTGTGGCAATGAAGAAACCACATAAGAACCATTTACTACTGTATTACATAAACAATTGATGTCATTTTAGTTGCATTTGTAGTTACAACGTCCTTGTAGGATTATGATTTTGAATACAATTAATGTACACTATATAAACCCCTTTATATAATTTTGGTATATGTATATATATATATATATATATATATATATATATATATATATAAATAAATCTTCCCTGCATTGTAAAATTGTATAAGCTTTAAATAAAAGAATGTACAAAAAATAAATAAATAAATTAGCTATTCACTACTGTATCCTTTTTAATAACCCTAATGTCAAACAGCATCTCCCACAGTCTAATTTATGGGCTAAACATGAATGGTCACAAGAGGCAACTGTCCACAGTTAGAAACTTAGCACCAGATGTTTGAGAGTTATGTGCATCCTTTTCTCATTATCACCATAAAAAAGCTGTTTCAAGAGTTGTTTATAGCTGAATTCCAACCTAAAGGTGTGTACAGACGGATTAAAATTTGGCAGGTTTTTCTTACGATCTGTGTGTGGCCATCCCTGTTTGACAGAAGTTGATCACTAGATTAATGGCCACACTGGAAAAAAACTTTCAACAATCAGCAGTTGCAATCACTGACCAGTGTATTCTGTCAGTTAAAAATCCCCGATGTCAGAATACAATGTTGCAGTGGGGATAATTTCCTTATCCATCATGCTTGTGTGATAAGGGAATCCTATCATTTTTATTTGTTCAATGCGCTAGCTGAATGGAGAGACCCCCCCCCCCCCCAAAAAAAAAAACCCACGTACACCCAGCTCTATTTTTAAGCTGGCCATACACTTATAGATTTTCTTTAAAAAATTTTCATTTCAAGAATATTCGTTTGATTTTCTAATCATTAGTGGGGTCAAATCGATGTTCATTTTCAACAGCAGTGATGAGAAAATTCAAAGGGGCAGGAAAGAAAACGTTTCTCAATCAAAAAATTTTAGGCCAGTGTATGTGGTTATCGTTCAGAAATTGCATTCATTTTACAATCGAATGGTAAAAGCACAAGACAATTTTCGAACAACATTCATTCATTCATCGAATATTCAAAGAATTTTCGTACAACTTTTCATATGAATATTCTCATCCAAAAATCTACAAGTGTATTGCCGACTTTAGTCTTGTACAGGTTACTCTCCCCTTCTAAAAATTGCTTATGCTGATTTAATTGCACACTCTGGGATTCTCAGTGTGCAATAGAAGCTGCAGGTGGTCAGTCCACCCCATTTTCTGGCTGGAGGACATTCAGCACCATATAGCACACTTTCCTCGCCAGCTTTATGGTCTCTGGTCTTTTTGTTCATTGGATTCAATCATAGTGGCTCAGCACCACTTGGGCGTTACAGCACAAATGCACCCTGTCTAGCAATGTCCACTCCTCCACATTAGCATCCACCTATCAATGCATTTTGATATTGGCATAACCACTCCCGAAGAGCAAGCACACGTACTGGGGCAGGATGCTGTAATGCATTCAGGAAACTATGTACAGCACCCTGCTGGCCCCTTCCACCTGCCATGCTCTGACTGCACTGAATCAAGAAGCACGAAGACCCATTGGTAACATCGCTTGGTTTAAAATAAGGTATGTAATGAAAACCGTAAAGCTTTTAGTATGTTAATAAGGAGGTAAGGAGGAACCAGGGATGGCAAAAATATAAGCAGATTAAAATGTCAGCTTTAAAAGCAAATCAGAATTAAAGGATATTATGCCACTGGTTGACGACAGTCAGCTCCACTAATACAATGAACGCGTATCCTATGTTATTGAAGTTATTTTTGCAGTACTTGCTTTTAGCAAAAGCAGAGTCCCTCAAGACGATGGTTCCACACACCGGTGCAAAAGGGTCTGTGGAATTTTCAGGAAAGAAACTAATTTTGTCCTTGAAGACTTCCATTCCAATAACAGCAAACACATAATATATAACCTATGGAGGCATAAGCAAGATTAACATACTGACAAAAATAGAAACTTGCTCTATGTACACACACACACACACACACACACACACACACACACACACACACACACACACACACACACACACACACACACACACACACACACACACACACACACACACACACACACACACACACACACACACACACACACACACACTGCCAAGACTCAAACATGTCCAAGCACTGTTTTTAAGATTTGTAAAATAAAAAGTGGATAATAAGGAATACTGGTAGAAATGGAAATTAAAAATCAGACTGGTGGATTTTACATCAATTTCATATGGTTTCATCTGAATATTCACTGCAAAAAATTGGCAGCTGTATTTTAACACTGTGCACATCATCATTTTTTTTGTACTGCCCTACAAGCCAATTGATGCTCAAATTACAGTAACATAATACAAGCAATCATATTTTAAAATTCCATCCTATTTTGAAAAAGATCTTTGTTTATGCCTACTAAGAAACTAAGTCATTGCGGAGAGCATGTAGAAAATACAAATTATATTCTCAAGCCATTTTTTTATATACAATAAATTTTTACTGAGCATATACGTCCAAAAAGAACATGTCAAAGCTAATTTTTTGTGTGTAATCACTTTCCTTCTCCAGTATTAACAGTATCTGGTTTACAAAAGTTGACCAAAGAAAAAAAATAGAACTGTGGAGCAGCTACCTATTGCAGCCAATTGGATTCCATGTTTGAGTTCCTGGGGAATACAAATGATCCCTGACTGCTTTTTCTCCACATACCTTTGCTCCACATTATATCAGTCCAATATTGGAGAATTATGATATTACAGTAAAAGATATACTTATGTTGAGATAATTCTAACAATGTTAACATAACAAAACCACCTACAAAAATAATACCGCAAAATGTCAGCATGGAAGGTAGGATGTTGATCAGTGTATTCATGATGACTCGAAACCTGTATAAAAGAGGAGTCCATGCAAATCGTTTACTTCACAAGCTAGAATAAGTAGAATACATTGTGATATATTTGAAATTTAAAACCTGTAAAACTTTATAGAGATATCTTATTCTTGGGTTATCTCCCATAAAGGCTACTTTTACCTTACAATTTCACACACAAAACTGATTGCAAATGCTCAGGTTGTGATGTTGCAAGAGGACGGCCAGCAGGAAGGTATATAACACACCTAATTACCACCTGGCTGGGTATTGGTCAAATCATTCTGCATTGGCTCCACAGTGTTCTAAATCCATATTCATTTCCTTCATTTGTTAAATGGCTCTAACTCCAAGATCCCCATTCCTCACCAGTCAAAATCTTATTTAGAGATTGAGAAGAGATGTGATTGAATGATGCCACATTATTGTACATTAATATTTGGAAGCTGCATCCCCATTAAATGGTTATTACAGATCTGGATATAAAAATTTAATAAAAAACAGAAAGCATATATGCATGCACAAGCCTATGTGAGTATTCAACATATAGATAGAAGCTATAGATACCTCTGAATACTGTCAATGATCCTGATGAGTCGGAGAACCCTGAGAATGAAGACAATGTCTAGGATCTGCTGGCTGTTGTACGGACTCCCTGTGGAGAAATAAACTCAGCAGGTAAATGTTAGTAAAATCCATCTGAAACTGTAAAGCTGACTATACACTGATCGAAATTCAGTAGAGACTGACTGCATTTTAAATCAGTCTTTGGCCATCCCCACTTGACAAAAAAGTCAATCATTTGATTGAATTCTGTCAAAAGGGACATGCTAGAAAATGCACATTCTGAAAGCTTCCAGTTGTGGCACATAATAGGAAGAGTTAAGAAATGATAGGGATGTCACTTATTAGTGAACAAGCCCAACTATAAAAAAAACTATTTTCGATCAGTCAAAATGCTACTGTAAGAGTAATCTGCTCTGCATACACATCACTTTGGGCCCATTTACAGCTATTCACACATGAATGAATGGGCCCTATTAATATCCCTTTAAAAACACACAAAACTACAGCACCAAATGTGATCCAGCCACATAGAAATTAATCAGACTTTTACTTCTAAATATTTTTATGCAGAAAGCGTTAAGAGGCCCTTAATCCATTACAAACCACTGTACAAGGTGTTTGTGTATCAACAAAATACATATTGCAATTACAAACAATAACTTGTAATTTATATACATTTATGAAATACACATAACATGGATAAGTACTAAAAATAGAATAAATTAAAGTCAATATTTCAATTTAAACACAATATGAGATGTAGTTCTAAAATATTTGCATAGCTATTTATCCAGTAAAACCGCTGGTACATTTGTTTTTTGCCAATGGGGCAAAATCAAATGTTCTTTTTCCATTTCCTTTACAGGTCAAATATCATTCATTCATAAAAAATAGAGTGGTTTGGGAAAATACTGCATTAGGGCCAATGGATGAAGCTGAGGATCAAAGGAAATACTTATTCACTATGATCCTTGTTTTAAACTGCATTGTGGATCTCATACCAATTAGCACTATTCAAAGTATCAAATGTACAGTTGTGACCAAAATTATTCAACCCCCCACTGAAATTGAGTGTTTTGGCCAGTTTGACATTGCTTTTGATCATTCAGTCATCTTGCTTACATTTACATTAAAAGAGAGGCACTTGTAGGTCAGACAAATATAACATAACAGTTATAATGAAATAACCACAAATGTCTTCACACAAGCATTATCAGTTTTATTCAACCCCCAAGTGACATTCAATCTTAGTACTTAGTACAGCATCCTTTTTACAGTTATAACAGCTTTTAAACGTGAAGCATATAGCTTGACACAAGTGTCTTGCAGCGATCTACGGGTATCTTCGCCCATTCTTCATGGGCAAAGGCCTCCAGTTCAGTCACATTCTTAGGCTTGCGCACTGCAACTGCTTTCTTTAAGTCCCACCAGAGGTTCTCAATCGGGATTTAAGTCTGGGACTGCGATGGCCACTCCAAAATGTTCCAGCCTTTCCTCTGCAACCATGCTCTAGTGGACTTGGAGGTATGCTTGGGATCATTGTCCTGTTAAAGGTCCAACGTCTCCCAAGCCTCAGGTGTGTGACGGACTGCATCACGTTTCCATCCAATATCTCCTGGTACTGAAGAGAATTCATGGTACCTTGCACACGCTGAAGCTTCCCTGTACCTGCAGAAGCAAAACAGCCCCAAAGCATGATTGACCCTCCACCATGCTTCACAGTAGGCAAGGTGTTCTTTTCATCATAGGCCTTGTTCTTCCTCCTCCAAACATAGCGTTGATCCATGGGCCCAAACAGTTCTAATTTGTTTCATCAGTCCACAGAACACTATCCCACAACTTTTGTGGTTTGTCCACATGGCTTTTGGCATACTGCAGTCGACTCTTCTTATTCTTTGGAGACAGCAAGGGGGTACGCCTGGGAGTTCTGGCACGGAGGCCTTCATTACGCAGTGTGCGTCTTATTGTCTGGGCTGAAACTTCTGTACCCACATCTGACAAATCTTTTCTCAGTTCCTCAGCAGTCACACGGGGACTTCTCTCCACTTACGCTTCAGGTAGCGCACAGCAGTCGAAGTCAGCATCTTCTTTCTGCCACGACCAGGTAGCGTTTCAACAGTGCCCTTTGCCTTGAATTTGCGAATGATGCTTCCTAAGGTGTCTCTTGGTATGTTTAACATCTTTGCAATCTTCTTATAGCCATTGCCCTTCCTGTGAAGAGAAATCACCTCTTCTCTTGTCTTCCTGGACCATTCTCTTGCCTTCACCATGTTTGTAACCACACCAGTAAATGTCTAGAAGGAGCTGAGTATCACAGTCATTTTAAAGCTGCCTAATTGGTGCTTATTATGCTTGATTGCTGCTCGGTGACATCCACAGTGTGTTTTCAATACCTGATGGAAAGCACCTGTATGAACCTCTGTTCTTCAGAGTGGTAGTCTTTAGGGGTTGAATAATTGTGGCAATGAAGAAACCACATAAGAACCATTTACTACTGTATTACATAAACAATTGAGGGTCATTTTAGTTGCATTTGGGTAGTTACAACGTCCTTGTAGGATTTGATTCTGAATACAATTCCAAATGTACACTATAGTCCCTAAACCCCTTTAAGCATTGGGGGTTGAATAATTTTGGTCACAACTGTATGTAAACTCTAACAATGGACTTCAGTTATTTGCTCCCTTTTGGGCCTACTGGACATTTGTGTAAAATTTCTGAATGCCTTTGGAGAAAAGCAGTGTAAAAAACACACCTAAAACTGCATTTTGCACCTTTGTTCAGGAACATCAGGTATTTGGGTGTTCATTAGTTTCACTGGCCAAAATATTAATTTATTCTGGTCACTTAAATGAACGCTCAAGGGCCAAACCTGTCTGGCCTTTAGGCGCGTTGGACGTTTTTTTTCAGCTGAAACGCACCACTCCTGAATGCACAAGTGATGTTTTTTTTTCTTTGACCTCTAAATGCTCCTGCCTCTAAGGGCCAGTAAATGCCTATGGACACATAGGGGTTGATTACCTAAACTGGAGAAGCTGAGAGGTGTAAGTGAAATCAGAGTAGGCATTTTCAATAAAAGGGGAACCCTGTACAACTGTGCAAGATTGAAGCTAAGGTTGGAGTTCAATTTTAAGAATCCAGACCCAAAAATGCCAACAAGATGTTACCTGCTATGTACTCAAATTGTAGGGATTGTATAGCAATCTGGGACTACATAATGAACAATGTTGCAGTATCAACGATTTGTTTGACGTGCCCGTGTTTAGGTAGGAGTCAAAGTATGTCTAAACCCAAAATTTAATTTATTGCAGCCTATCAGTACTTGCATGTGGTGTGTGCATTAGTTCTCCTTTTATGCTTTTTTTGTTTTTTTTTTAATCTTCTCCAGGTTTTACTGTCAGTAACACGCTTCTTGTCCTAGGGCAACAACGC